TCTGTGTGGGGGGTGGGGTGAGAGGAAAATCTTATATACTTAACCTTATATATATATATACACACACTTAAGGTACTTGTTTTAAATTAATAAATCAAGACACGTGGATTCTTTATATATTATTTATTCTATAACAAACTATTGTTATTAATAAATATTTGAAAAGGAGGTTATTTCAATAAAAAATTTTGAATTAAAGTAAACATAAAATGACTCATCTTTACACAACAAGGTGATTAAGGGTGAAACTAGTAAGTAATAGAAAATTGGGCCTTTTTCTCTTTATATGAATTCTGGAAATTTTATTCTATATAAGTTAATATAAAATTATTTCATGTAACATCTTAAGAGGCCAATGCATATTTAGCGTGATCGATATTTCCTTGAGAAGTAACAATGATTTAGAGGAGATGGTAGAGACAAAAGTGGAGTCCAACCCTAATGAATTAAGGTAGTGTCTGGATGTTAGTATTGAGTAGTGTTTTGACTTTTGAGGGTGCACATGGAGATTTGAAATAACAATGGTTTAGAAAAAATTTAAAATTATGATAAAATTTGGGCAATAAACTTTTAAGTGCCCAAATAGGGGATCAATTTGACCTAAATCTAAATTCAAATTCAAATTCACATGTATCTAAACATAGCATAAGAAAATTATACATTATTGGTTCCGTCCCCATGATGCCTCACTTTTTATTTTTTATTTTTTAATTTAAAATACCTGCATAAGCATCTGTGCATTCATTTCAATTCATCCCATTTGTTACTCTTCCATTTTCTTGTCTTTTGCTTTTGTATGAATGCTAAGAGTTTTGTTCACCTGCTTTAAATAATTAATTTCATTTTACAATCTTAGCCTCACATTTCATATCAAAGGGTATGTTTTGAATGTGATACTTTAGCAACTTCACAGATGTAGTTAATATAAAATTGAAAAAAATGACAATTAAAAACCTTCTAAGGACATTAATTTCAATTAAAGATCATGAAATATTAAAATCTCGATTAAAGATCATAGTCTTTAATTGAATAAAAAAATATACCTAACTTTACAAAATTGCCCTCCACTAAACACTAAAGAGATCAGCTCTTGCTTGTGTTCTCTGTGTGTTTTGGGTGCGAAAAATCTACTCTCAGTGCACGAAAAATCTAACCAAAAAATCATGATTTTCAGTGGAGCAGATCGTCAACTGGGTCATCATCTTCTTCCCTTTTTAGTGATAGATAATACATTAACTGCTTCTTTTTCATATTCTTCCTTCCTCTGTGTGAAAAATCTGAAGTTTTAAAGTTTTTCTCTTCTCTATCTTTTATGTCTTCTCTTCTCTCTTGGGCGAAAGACAATTTTTGTATCTTTGTAAATGATATTTTATATCGTTTCTCTTCTATAGCTAAGAAAAAAAGAGATCTTGTTGATGATTATATAGATTATACACATATACACATAGTAAATGATTTCTGAGACAAATAGTATTGAAAAAATTGAGTGAAAAAAAAAGATATAACGTGATTGTTGATTTTTTTCTGTAATGAAAAGTATGCTGATGTTGAAAAATATAACATGGATGCTGAATTGTTGTAGTCATAGTTGGGATTACAGGAAGGATTGCTTTGAAGTAAGACACAAATAGTGTTGAAAAAAGTGAGTGAAAAAAAAAGAAAGTTATAACGAGAATGCTGATTTTTTTTTCTGTTATGATGAAAACTATGCTGATGTTGAAAAGGATAACATAAATGCTGAATTACTGTAGTCATAGTTGGGATTGCTGGAAGGATAGTTGTGAAGTAATAAATTTATATATTACTCCTAGTTGTTTCATGTTTATTTTCTATATAGCAAGTACTTCAGCAAAAGAAGTATTAACTTGTGAGTAATTGTGAATGCAAGATGGAAGATTTCTTACCATGGTCACAACCAGAATCTTCCTTTAGACAAGAGCTTGAAGATATATCACCCTCTTTTCCATGTTCAATACAAAATACTCTTGCACTATTCCCTGAAGTTAATTAAGTAAAAAAAAAGGATTTATTTATGGGTGTTACATAAACATTTCAATATGCAACTATATTTATAAAAGCATTTATGCACAAGAAAAATTTATAGCTTCACAATGATTTCGGTGGAAATCATTGATATACCTTAGTTGATCGAGATACATTATGAAGATTATGAAAACACTATCTTTTTAAAACCACCACTGATTGCACGTCCCCCAGGAGAACCACATATCAAGTGAAGAAAGTCACAATTTCAAAACAAGAAGGTGTACCATTACTCAATATATCATTAGGCAAGGCATATTAAAAATAGATGTAGGAATCTCAATCCAAAAATAGATGTGGGGATTGAAAGGGGGTGAAAACCATATGCATATTAATTAGTTTGAAATTGAAATGTATCTAATTTTTATTTATTTAGTGTGTTTTGCTGCTGAATCACTTTTTGTATAGACATCTACAAATCATGCAAATAAATTTTCGGTTTACGTTATTTTTTAGAAAGCGAACTGCATAAGTACCATTTAGGTAGATGGAATATTTTGTATATAAAAAGGAATGCAAATATGATGTATATGTATTGAAATCAATGTAACGTAATGCTAATGTTTATTTTAGGTTTAATTATGCGCAAGTATAATTGCTATGATAACATAAAACTACTGAAATCACTATCATAGAATGGGAAATTATTATTATAACTTGAGAAAACACGGATCTCATTTGGGAATAGATTTTTTCCTAGTATTAGAGGAATTTTTGGAATGTGCTAAGGTCATTTATGAATATACTAATGTGACAAATGAATATTGCTATTGTATGTTGTAAAAATATAAAACCCTACTTAGGAATAGATTATTTCTCACAATTTCAAAAACTAAGCTTTGAAAAGTTTCAATATCACTTATAAATATATTAAAGTGGCTTGGGAATTCACTAATGTCAGTCAAGATAATTCACTAATGATTTATCAAATTTCATGCTTGTCAATGTATAATTAGCTCCATTTGGAATTCACTAATGTGGCATAGGAATATTGGTATTGCATTTTGTAAAAATATGAAACCCCACTTGGGATATAATTATTTAACAAAAAATCACTTATACATAACTTGAAAATTTACTAACATGACTTAGAAATTCATTAACGTTAATCAAGATAATTCACCAATGACTTGTCCAGTTTCTTGTAAATTTAGTAAAAAAAATACTTAGGATTAATTGCTGTATCATATACATTGAGCCACAGAAAATACTTAAGTACATAAAGTTTTAATTTACATCATACATATAATCAAAACATAACTTGTAAAAATTTATATCACAATTTTCTAATCTATGCATTCAATCTTTTTGATCCTCCATGCCCGACATTTGAAATAGATATCATCACTTGTGAGGCTATTCATTATGTGGATGAATCATCAGCCAATACAATAGCTCAAACCTCATTCTACTCAATTGTTCCTGCACAATTAGAGAAAATCAATTAATCGAGGCATGGTATGATTGCATCATTCCTCTTACATAGTATTATTACACTGTTTAAGGTAAATGATGACACACATGCCACAGTCAACTCTACATAAAAAATTTTTAAGATGAAATCTGTTAATAGTTTATTACTTCACCATTATCATTCCTGTAATCCCAACTATGACTACAACAATTCAGCATCCATATTACAATTTTCAACATCAGCATACTTTTCATCATAGAACAGAAAAAAATCAGCATCCATGTTATATATTTCTTTTTTTTTCATTCAATTTTTTCAACACTATCTATCTCAGAAATCATATATTGTGTGTGTATATGTATATAATCTATATAATCATCATTTATTGTGTGTGTATATGTATATAATCTATATAATCATCAACGAGATCTCTTTTTTTCTTAGTTATAGAAGAGAAACAATGTAAAATATCATTTACAAAGATACAAAAATTCTTTCACCCAAGAGAGAAGAGAAGACATAAAAGATAAAGAAGAGGAAAAATTTAAAACTTCAAATTTTTCACGTAGGGGAGAGAAGAAGATGAAAAAGAAGTAATAAATGTAATTACCTATCACTAAGAGGCGGAGAAGATGATGACCCAGATAACGATCCACTCCACTAAAGACTACAATTTTTTGCTCAGATTTTTCGCACACATGAGAACAGATTTTTTGCACCTAAAACGAACAGGGAATGCAAACAAGAGCTGATCTCTTTTAGTGTTTAGTGGAGGAAAATTCTGTAAAGTTAGATATATTTTTTATTTCAATTAAAGACCATGGTCCTTAATTGAGATTTTAATATTTTATGGTTCTTAATTGGGATTGATGTCCTTAGAAGGTCCTTAATTATCATTTTTCCTATAAAATTTGCTTGATTCATTGGTAGTGGAGGCAAAAAGTCCATCTGTCACTCCACACACACTTGCATACGTTTTTAATTTCCTCACTTTTGATTGTAGTCCAATGACTTTAGATCATATAGCACTGAGCTCGAAAGAAAGTGGTGTGGTTTTGTCATCACAGGATAAGATTCTCATTGAGTTGAGTAATTACTTTTTAGACTAAAAATATTTTTTCTAAACTGGTAAAAATTCGCTTGTTGTGGCCATAATTTTAAATTATCTCAGACACGTCATTGATTTGGATTTAATTTTATCTTAATAAAAAGTAGAAGAGAGTACAGACAAAAGTGGAGTCAAGGGAAGTGCAGATTTTCCCTGCATTCCTTATATGTCTGTCCAGCGAAGGCGTGGTTCGTTGACTCTAGATCAAACCATTGAGCAAAGAGAAAGTATGGTCTCTGCAACAATAATAATTTTTTTTCATTGTATATTGTATTACTGATCCTGCACAATATTTTTTCCTCCAGTATATTATATCTACTAGTTTTGATTTCTTATCTAATTATTTTTTTTTCCTTTTCCCTTCAAAACTAGTTATATGATCGATTATGTTGTTGCAGATTCCGATTCAGACAACCAAGAAATCAAAACACTGCAATGGCGTATAGGGTCAAAGGAGAATCATTTCCATGCTCTTCGAATTCAGCTCCAAAATGGAAACATGATGTTTTTTTGAGTTTTGCAGGAAAAGATACTCGCTTGAATTTTACAGATCACTTGTATTCAGCTTTTAGTCAAAGTGGCATACGAGCTTTTAAGGATGATAAAGGAATAGAGAGAGGAGAAGTCATATCGCAACAATTATTTCAAGCAATTGAAGACTCTCTCATTGCTGTTGTTGTTCTCTCTCAAAATTATGCAAATTCTGCATGGTGTTTGGATGAACTTCAAAAGATCATTGACTGTAGAAATAAATTGGGTCAACAAGTTTTCCCTATTTTTTATGGTGTAGATCCGTCCGATGTAAGGCATTTAAGGAAAAGTTTTGCGTTAGCTTTAGCTAAACATGAAGAGAGATTTAAAGGAAGCAACGACAAACTGCAGAAATGGAAAAATGCTTTGTTGGAAATTAGCAATTTGCCAGGTTGGGACACGAGGGGTCGGTAAGTTTTCTTTCATATTATAGTTTAATCATTTTTTGTTACGTTAATATGGTTTAAACTCAAAAAAAAAAGATAATAATCTATGATTCACAAATCTTTTGTGTGTGTGAGAGAGAGTGAGAGAAACCTTGTATAATCCAAACTATTCATGAAAATTATGAATTTATATTGGATATTTTGATTTAAATGGATATGCATCAATAAATCAATCAGTCTAGGCTTATTCCATGTTTTTCACCTTGATTATACTATTTTCTGAACTGTCCCTCGGCTTGCTTCCTAACTCACAGTCCCAAAAAAGTAAAAAAAAAAAAAAAAAAACAAACAAACAAACAAAGAAAAGATTGCTTAACGATAAATTTTTCTATTACATCACGTTGTTGTGTTTAACTATTTCTTGTAAAATTAGTTAAATAGAAACAAAAACAACCTGATATAATAGAAGTTATCAAAGACGGCTGTAAAAAGTTTTCTTTTTCCCCCTGCACTATAGCTATTTATAATTCATTTTATGCTCATTTATTCTTTATATTTTTAGGCCTGAAACACAAGTTATCCAAGACGCTGTCGAAGCAATATGGAACAAACTGTGTTCCAAATTGCCATCTTATGATGATTATAATTTAGTTGGAATAGTCTCAAGGATAGTTGAAATAAATTCACTCTTGAAGATAGGGTTGGGCGATGTTCGTTTTGTAGGCATATGGGGGATGGGCGGTATTGGTAAAACTACTCTTGCTAGAGTTGTTTATGAAAGCATCTCTCACCAATTTGAAATATGTTGCTTTCTTGCTGATGTTAGAGAAACTTCTGAAAGAAAAGGCAAGGTTTATTTACAAAGAGAGCTTCTTTCACATGTAAGTAATATGAAAATTAAGAATGAGTTTGAAGGAAAGAAGGAAATAAGAAAATACTTTTGGAATAAAATGGTTCTCCTTGTTCTTGATGATATAAATCATGTGAGTCAATTGGAGAATTGGCCGTTCTTCCAGAGTGGTTTGGTGAGGGTAGTAGAGTAATTATAACAACTAGGGATAAGCATTTGTTGACTTCACATGGAGTTCATGGAATATATGAGATGGAACCCATGAAAGAAGATGAATCTCTCAAGATCTTTTCAAAGAAAGCATTCAAAAAAGATCATCCTAAGGAGGGCTATGTGGAGTTGTCTAAATCTGTGGTTGAATATGCTGGTGGTCTTCCTTTGGCGCTGCAGGTTTTAGGTTCTTTTCTTCATGGAAGAAGTGTACTTGAGTGGGAAGATGCTTTAGACAGATTAAAACAAATTTCATATAAGGATGTTTTTGAGATTCTTAAAATAAGCTATGATGGATTAAATGACGAAGAGAAGGCAATATTCTTGGATATTGCATGCTTTTTCAAGGGATGGGAAAAAGATGAAGTAATCCAAATTTTGAAAAATATTGGTCTTCATTCGTCAATTGGAATAAATATCCTCATTGAAAAAACTTTGCTAGTTGAACACCATACTGACTTTGGAAGATGCCGTTTAGAGATGCATGATTTATTTCAAGAAATGGGCAGGAATATAATTTATCAAGAATCTCCTAGCATTGCTTGCAGACGCAGTAGACTGTGGAAGGTCGAGGACATCGATGAAGTATTGGAAAATACTATTGTGAGTGTTTCTTTATTTAATTAAATCTTGTTTTTATGCGTCTCACTTCCTTATCATTCTCATGTTATTATCATGCGAATTCATAGTATTGTTATCAGGGAACTGAAGCAATACAAAGCATTGTGCTATATTCCTCACGACGGGATGATCCTGAAGTATATTGGGAACCCCACGCTTTTTCCAAGATGTTTAATCTCAGATTACTCATCATTCAAAGAAGATCGGAACTTCCCAATGGTCTCAAATGCCTCTCTAGTGCATTAAGAGTTGTTCAATGGCCATTTTGCCCTCTAGAAGCTCTTCCGCTCGGAACACCATTGAATAAACTTGTTGATATTCAAATGAAACATAGCAGTATAAAGATACTTTGGAATGGCGTACAGGTAAGTAACTCCATTATCGGTCATTGTTCATCACATACATGCACTGCCATGTTATGTTAGTGCAGATGAGTTAGGCCAGGTAAGAAGTCCAAATGATTGCCCATATGTTCCTCAGGCAGCAGGGGCCGTTAGAAACGAGGACAAATCTAGAGCTTAGTGGTCGGGGGGCCAAATTGAAAATAAAATGAAGAATGAAGGAGCCAAAATCTATTTTAGACTATTTTACAAAAAAAAACAATAATAATAATAATTTTTACCATAAGTCATATGATGTATGGGGGCCAAGAACCTCTCCTTGCCCCCCTTATCCGTCACTGGTTAGAAGGAGCCGGAGAATGCGTAAGAGGACATGTAAGTTAAGTGACGTGGATGACGATTGACATACCATATATAATAAGGACAAAGTTGGTCATTGAGGGGTGTGTAATGATTGAGAAATCTTCCTCTTGATTGATTCTTCTTCTATCCTTTCTCTGCATTTTCTTTTCTGCATTTCTCTTTCTGTGCTTGCTGCTGTCATGTTTCTTTTTGGTCATTTTAGAGCTTATATAGCTCTTTTATGTACTTCAATATATGAATGTTGGGCTTAATTTTACATAAACATATTTCCTCGAAACTGTCTTATGTCTATTTGAGTATTCTATTTGGTGCTTTCCTTGAGAGGAAATATATGTAAAATTAAGCCCAACAATCATACTGGAATACATAGAAGAGCTATGCTCTAAAATGACATAAAAGAAATATGACAGTAAAAAGTATAGAAAGGGAAATGTAGAAAAGAAAATGGAGAGAAAGGACATGAGAAGAATTACTCAGGAAGAAGATTTCTCAATCATTGTACAACCCTCAATAACTAACTATGTCCTTATTACGGTACGTCAATCTTTATCCATATCACGTAACTTTCACATCGTCTTGCGTTTTCTCTGGCTTCTTCTACCCGAGGCACATGGCTATAATTTGGACTTCTTTCTCGGCCCAATTCATCTGGACTCAACATATTAGTGGTGAGTATGTCATGCTAATAGGACATTGTTTTCCGGGACTAATTTTCCTGTGTGTTGTCTGTTCAGATTATGAAAAACTTCAAGTTCATTGATATGAGCTTTTCTAAAATACTGACTAAAACTCCAGATTTCTCGGGAGTTCCAAATTTAGAAAATTTAATTCTTGAAGGTTGTTCATCCCTTCTTGTTGTTCATCATTCCCTTGGAGGGTTAAAAAGCTTGTCAGCGTGAATTTGTCTGAATCCCCAAGTCTCAAAGTCCTTCCAAGAAAATTGGAAACGAATTCATTGGCGAAGTTACTCCTTAGGCGTTGTTCTCAAGTTTCAATGCTCCCAGAGTTTGGGGAAGGCATGAAAACATTATCATTGCTTGACGTGAGTTATACTGCTATAAGGGAACTTCCAAAGTCATTTGGATTTTTGAACGGTCTTAGAGATTTGAAAATGAGAAATTGTGAACATCTTGTTTTTTGCTTGCTTGTCTTCCACAATTTGAAGAATCTCAAAACGGTTGACATGTGTGGTTGCTCAAAACTTTCCAAGGGCCAAAAAGACTGAATGAAATTGCAGCGTCGGAAAAACACGACAGGAGTGAAAATTTCAGAACAGACATGACTCTGCTCAGTGCTCTAATAAGCAATCAAGCCTTCAGCTTTAATCCATCTGCAATAACAGAGTTAGACTTAAGCGCTTGTGGCATCAGTGATGGATCAATTGTTGAACTTTTCAGTGGTTTCTCGTCATTACTTGTGCTAAATCTTGGAGGGAATGATTTTGTTAATCTACCTGATGGTTGGATCTGTAATTCTATTCGACTACGCTTTCTTTTTCTGAGTTCCTGCAAGAGGCTTAAGTCACTGCCCAAGCTTCCACCACAGTTAGTTCGACTAGACGCAGTGGGTTGTAATTCACTGGAACCTTTTTCAGAAAGACAACAATGGATTATGGTTTCATCGCTTCACCATGAGGTATGTTTGTCCAACCATGATCTTTCCACTGATTTATGATCCGTTTCAGAAAGTCTGGCATCATCAAATTTTTTGGTAGTGCGATATCTTTTTTTAACATTTGAAAACAGTGTAGTTTTATCCTTTTATCCTATTAATGTTAAAACAATAGATTTGACTATTAGTTAACCTAAAAAATTATAAAAAAACTTCAAAAATTATATTAAAAGACTCTATAAAAGAATAATATAAATTAACTCACCTAAATTATAAATTAATACTTCTTTCGTTATAAATTATAAAACACTTTTAAGAAGATTCAACGTCTCAAAATATAAGATATTTTGATAAAAATAAGATTTCATTAATGATATTTTTTTAATATTACTCTTCCTATATATTCTCTCTTTTAAATATTTTTTCATCAATGGAGTATTATATGAATGGTATTTTTTAAAGTTTATATTTTTGTCTTGAAAAAGTAAGGTTATAAAGTGTATTTAATAAGTTTAATTTATATATGAGATCTTTCCTAAAAATATCTTATAATTTGAGACAGAGAGAGTACCAAGAAACTAATACTCCCTCTGTTAAAAAATATAAAGCATTTTTAACTAAATCGCACTCCTTAATAAAGTAGTTACCTACTTTTCAACTAATCATATCTTTTCATATTTATTCTTATTAAATACCCTACAAAAAATATAAAGTAATTATAAATAGGGGCACTTTTGGAAAAAAGGCTATAATTACACCCTAAAAAACTAAAAATACCTTATATTTTTTAATATTTAACTTTTCAAAAAATGCCTTATATTTTCAAACAAAGAGAGTATTATTTTTTATTCATATAAAATACCAAAATAACATTCTCAGTGGCCACTTTGATCAACTATCAGGTGATTATGGGATTATTGTTGCTGGAAATAGCATTAGTAAAAAAGTATTAAAGTGTTAATGTTTTGATAAGATATTATTAAAATAATTATATTATTTTTAAATTAATTACTAGTGTTGTTGCCAACAATGATGATTTGATAGTTATCTGATGGCTTGTCAAAGTGGATAATCATAATGGTATTTGGGTCTTTTATATGGTAAGAAAAAACATTTATCACTTGATATTTATTTATAATTTAGAAAGCTTAATTGGTATTAATTTTCCTATAGAATACTTATTTGTAATTTTTTGGCTATTTTTTAAAATAATTTTTAGGTCCTTATCAATAATTTGAATCATCTAATATTTAAAGTTAATTTTTATAACAGTATAAGCAACATTGCATCATTTTTAGTTATTAAAGGGTAACGTTGAACCTACAAAATAAATTAAAATACTAGACCTATATTTGTCGTGAATAGTTGTTGGGTAAAAATGTTCTAAACCCCTCACTATACATACATGCACCCATATAACACACTATTTGCTTGTTTTAGTATCGACATCAGGTTAAATATGAGAATACACTGCTCAAGCACATTGAGGCATGTCAGTCCCTTTCGGTGTATTTCTACGTAAGTGTTCCTTTTCTGTTCCGGCCAAGTATTACTCATAATAGGTTAATGTTGTTGCAGGTAGCAGAATATTTTCCCCAGAGAGATTTTTTTGCAATTATTTGGGGATCTGAGATACCGTCATGGTTCCCAAATAACGATTATGTTGCTTCAGATTTGTATAGATATAAATATTAGTTAGTGATGAACATCCCTCAGCATGTTCGTGCAAGTGAATGGTCCCGACTTGCTGTTTGCATCAAGTTACAAATCATGCCTTGTATATTTGATAGTTTTCACATTTCATGGAGTAGTAAAGCTCCTGAAGATGATCACTACGTAAGGAAAAATTGGGCCCATGAAATTCGCGTTGTTGAAAAGGAGGGTCATCACATCTGCATAATGGTGTTGCATTTGAACGAGAAACATGTTGGCAACATGTAAGAGGTCATGATAATTGCCTTCATATCAAATTTACCTTTCATTCTCCATGTCGTGAGATGCTCAAGATAGGAGGTTGTGGATGGCGTGTGATCTGTAGAGAAGACTTGGAAGAGTGGAGACACAATAATTGTTTGAACAAATCAAGTAGTCAAGAAGACATTGATGATTCTGAGGTCTGCCTTCCTCGCACTGCTTTGGACAGAACAATAAAATCTTTCAATAAAAAAGAGAGAAATGGGCAATCCTGACTCACGTATGCTATTGTCCTGTTTATTTATGCTCTTCCACTCAGTTAATATATATGGAATCATGCAGCACTGATGAAGGCAGAGAATATGTTTGGTTTTTTAAAAAACGGAGAAAAATAGGTAATGATGCCTCACGTTTTCTATTGTCCAGTTTACCCCCTTCTACTCTTCCTTCAACAAATCAAACAACTACCTATCTAACGTGAATATGAAGCAGTACAATTAACTTGTGAAGCATTTTGGCTTTCAGATGCAGAATTACCATTTAGATGTCAAGTGAAGCAACACGTTGGTGTTATGAGTGTGCACATCCGATGGCGCTTGAAGGGAGGGAAGTCAAGGGCATGCCCTTGAGATGTATAAGAACTTGAAATGCATGCCTTTCAACCATTTAATGCTCTCCAAGAGTTTCATCAAATGTCCGACCTTTTGATGCCACACATGATTTTTTGGGTAAGAGAGTTCCTGAACCAAGATTTGGGCTCAGTAGTTTATGGATGGCCCTGTGTAATAACCGACAAAAGAAGAATTAAAAATGTAACAATACATTTTAATAATATTTTTATCTGTTTTGGGAATATATGTTGCAAGAAAAAAGAGTGGTTTAGTGGTGAATATGCAGCCACGTATAATGGAAATTTTTATTTGCTTCAACTTTAAATTACCATTTTTGTCCCTCTGTAAAAAAGACCGAAAAAAAAAATAACAGGATAAGAGATGAAGAAGTGGCCAGAAACGCACCACCGCCATTTCTTTTCTCTTCCTCCCTCTGAGTTTTTTTCGAATTTTCCAGAGCACACAGGAATCACCTTCCTCTTCCTCCGTCCTTCCTATCTCCGCCTACTGAAGGTGCACCGGAAATTTTTCTCTTCTTCTGTTTATGCGCTGCCATGGAAGTACTGTTCCAGCATCCTCTCCCTCCTTCATTTATGTGTTGCAGTGACAGTGCACCAGAAATTTCTTCCTCCCATGAAACGCGTCACTGTCGCCTGAGTGTTTGCTAATTGGTGAAAGATTTATAATGGTCTGACCGTTGCTGCTACAGGTTGAAGTTATGAAGGTTCTTCTCTCTTACTCTGTTTCGTATCTGACTTCTCCTCCTCTTTTATCTCTGTCGGCGTGGCTGAAAGAAGCACGTCTGGTCCTTCTCCTTCCAGGTTCTGATTGTTTTTAGTATTGCAGAGCACCGTTCAGCTTGCTGACCTTCTCCCCTGTTCGATATGTCTGTATGCGTGTGACTGAACCTTCTTCCTTTTTCCTGTTCTGTCGTGATTGATCTGGAGCTAAGGAGTTTCAAATTTTTTCTTCGTTCCTCTGCTGCCTTTGTGGTGAGTCAAAAATCCATCTTCCTTCCTCTTTTTGTTGTGTGCGTTTGCTGTTGGGTTTTGGCTGAAAATGGGTTTTGATTTTCCTCCCTAATTGCTTATGCGAGTAAGGGAAAGAGAGAGAGTGTTAAAGAATAAGATGAATGCAATAAGATGTGTAAAAGGTGTATGTTGGTTTTTAATAGTAAATAAGTGTCCAATAGAGAAGTAGACATGTGAAGTATTGAAGGGACTAAAAAAATTGAGAGTTGGTTGAGTGGATTATAATGATTTGGAACCAATTGTTTAGGTGTTGTCAATTTTAAAAAATAATTTATTTATTTATAGTAAAAAGTTGATTAAATTTTTTTTATATTGAACAGGGTTCTTAGAGAAAAGAAAAGTCTATTGAAGTGTTGAGAAATAAATTATAGTACTTAAGAATACTTGAGGTAGGTGGATAGCGTCTTAAATGATTTATTAATAAAATTTTTTTATCAAAATATTTTTTTACATAGATCATTTAATAACAATTATATTAAGTATTTAATATTTTGTTAATTATATTATTTTTATCTAGGAAAATTATAAAAAGATGGTGGAGAATTTTTGAATTATGGCATATGTATGTATTTTATCTTATGAATGATACTTTTAAGATTGATAAGATTATTTTTATTTGCTTTGAAAATTGTTGGGTTACTCAATAAATGCCAAACTTGGACATTAGTTATGAAATTTTATTTTTGCAAGTTTTAATGCTTAAGACTGTTCATGCGAGTTTGATTATGAGAATTAAATCTATATTTTAATAGTGATAATTTTCTCGCATGTTTGAAAATGCATTTGAAGGGGGATTTTATATATAACACTGATTGCTAACGGTAGTTCTGTTAGTCCTTGGCACGTCATGATCAATAACTAGCTAGTTTGATTTTCGTGAGCTCCATTCTTATGTTTATTATTTGTGGGTTTAATACCTGCGTTTATTTTCATGGCTTTAAGCCGCGTTTGGTTACTTATCATCGTGAATTATGTATCCGTGTTTGTTTTGTGGCTCTGGCCATGTTTGGTTACTTACTCTCGTGAATTTTATGTTCACATTTGTCTTCGTGGCATAAGTCGCATTTGCTTATTTACCCTCGTGGACTGTGTGTCCACGTTTATGAATTGTTCTGATAAATTCCTAAAAAATATTAATTTTTTTGATTAATTGATGATTTTATACTCTAATGGTTTTTGACTAGTGAATGTTATTATTTTTATTTATTTAATTACTTAATTTATTTAACTTATTAAGATTAAATGTTAAAATTGCTTCATTATTAAAGATTTAAAGGCTTATAATATTGAAGTTGTATAGAAATTTTTACTCCAAATTTATTAATTTTATTGTCTCCAATTGTTTTCTCTTTAATTTTCACAATTGTTTTAAATTATTCATTTTATTTATGCAAATTTTATGGTTGGAGCGCTATTCACTGAAAAATATTTGGTTTGGTTCAGATAGCATAGCTAACCCTGCACCTACGTCAGATCCTTGAATGGGATTTGCTTCTTGATTGAAATAGAGATGCTATTTTGATTAATTTCTATTTTGATGGAAATTTATGATTTATATATTGTATTTTTACAAATAATGTTTTAGAATTTTTAGATGCTCCACATAGATTATAGTTAAAGTCCTGATCTTTATACTGTGTTGTTTGACTGTTGTTAAGGTTGATGCCGTTAAATGTGTTGTAAATTTTTTTTTTTTTGGTAATTCTATTATAGAAAGTTCTGATGAAAGTTTTTAGAAGATTGGTGATTTGTAGCTTTTATGAAAGTAATATATAGTTATTTATTTATATTAATTACATATTCAAATATTAGAATTAGGGTTTTCTTAAGTTAAGGTTTTCGGGATATGGAGTACTATTCCTATGTTTTGTGCTGGTCTCGCCTTATTTTCTGGGCATGACACCTGGGCTGGAAGCATTCACTTAACATCTCACCATGGACGATCAGAGGCCATCCTCCAGCCTCACATTCCTCAATCCATGCTAATTCCTACTATTAAGATCACATGAGCACATCTTCACTCTGATTCACACTGTCGAGTCTGTAAAGAGAGATTTGAACTAGGCTTCAAGGCTAGGCAAATGCCTAATAACCATATCTATCACTCTAACTATATAGTTTTGTGGTGGGTTCAACATAACTCGTGTCCTGTTTGCTGTGTTGAGCTACCATTTCTAGTATCTGGTAACTCGTGGAGGAAGGAATGTGTAATGACTCATGAATTTAGAATTTTGTTAAATATACAATAAATAAATTTTTTTAAAAAAGGGGAATAATTAGACCTCTCATTTCATATTTGCATAAAAAAAAATAAAATAAAATAATAAATTATTTTTCTAAATATTTTAACTTTTCATAAAATTACTGGGTGGTTATAATAAAGTGAATTAGTAGTATGATGGGATTTATTTTGAGTTTCTAATTGATGATTCACGGTTTCAATTTGGGTGGTGTCAAAAGTAATATTTTATATTTTGTTAGTACTCTAAAATTACAAAAATGCCATTGCTTTTAAAAAAAAACATAGAGGTCATCATAATTTTTTTCATTACTGACTTAGAGTCAAATATAAGCAAGCGAGTGGGAGAGAGAATACGGTGGAGCAGTTGTGGATTGAGAAGCTTTCGTCCTTTGTTTTAAGCGTCCGTTGTCTGTGAATATGGGTGTGCCGTCGGTCCCTACTGTGGGTTCTGTGAAGATTGTGAAACCTCTGCTCTTCCTCTTTTGTTTCTGCATATAAGGCCATCCTTCTTCTTCCTTCCACTGTTCTGCATCACCACTGTTTGGGTGAGGGAGGGAAAATCAAATCTTTCAATCCATTCCTCCTTTACTCCTTGATGAGTTCAAGCTTCATCCTCCCTTTTCCTTAGGTTAGATTTGTGTGTTTTATGCTTTAGGAGGTTGCTGAATTTTTATTCTTCCCTTGTATTAGTTGCTGTGAGTGTAAGGTAAAGATTGAGGTTCTAACAAGTTTAAATTTAAGACTAGGAAAAATAACATTTTTTGTTTGAATGGATTTTTTATAAAGACATGAGCTCGGGGAGGCATAACAAATTTATATAGAAGTTGAAAAATTGCTGAGTAAGAGATTGTTAGAGTAAGAAGTTTGATACTATAGTTTGAGTACTGATGATCATGAGCTATTTGTTAAAATGTGTGTTATATATGTATGTATATATGTATGTACGTGCATCTACATACATACATACATATATATATTATGTGATTGAAATTATTGGGAAGAGATTTGAAAAAGAAAGAGCTTTGTATTATAGTTAAACATTGATGCACATAAGGTGTTTGTTAAAATGTGTAAAAGGGTAATTTGATTGAGATGCAACAATTAAGCAGGTTTATTATGTTAATGGCTGGAATTGGAGTTAGGTTGTTCAATTTCTTTGTTGAAAATTTAGAAATGTATAAATAGTGCCTGTATGTGTGTACGTGTGTGTATGTTCATTGTAGTGTAAAGTTTGGGTTGATGAAATGAAGTAATGAATCTTGACACATGTCTAAAAAGGAAGAATGGTAGATTTTTTTAGGATTGGTATGTCTAAGATCAATGATTAGCTATAGTTATATATATGTGTATATATCTATATTAGTAATTAATTTCAATGTTAATTTCTCCATAAGGAAAGTGGCTTAAGTTGCTGCTGCTGTAGTTGCTATTGCTGTTGTTGTTGTCTCTTTTAAACTTTGTCACATACTTAGAATGGAAAAGTATCTAGTGAGTTGTTTGAAAAGTAACCTTAAATAATTTAAGGAGTTTGGGTTATTGAATATTTGTTGGCGATATATGAAGTAGAGTCATTGTTAAAGAGAATTGTTGTTTTGTTTTTGTTTTTTGTTTTAGACAGTAAAGTAGCTAAAGGCTTTTGAGAGGTGGTTAGCAGAAAAAATTGTTATCTTTAAAGCTTATCAGGTAAGTAGATAGTGTCCCAATTGATTTATCAATTAAATTCTTTTTTCAAGATATTTTTGTTACACAAATCATTTAATAACAATTATATAACATATTTAATACTTTGATAATTAAATTATTTTTACCTTGTGAAATGGTAAAGATATGTTGAAGGATATTTAAATTATAATGTGTATGTATTTTTCCTTACAAAGAATACTTTTAAGATTGATGAAATTATTTTTATCAGCTTTGGTAATATTGGTTTCTCAAGAAATGCAATCATGAACATCAATTATAAAATTTTACTTTGGCAAGTTTTAATGCTCAAAATTTTTTCATGCAAGTTTGATTTCGAGAATGAAAACAATATTTTAATAGTGATGACTTTCTCACATGTTTGAAAATGAATTTGGAGGGAATTTTATACAAAACTCTAGTTGCTAATGGCAGTTATGTTAGCCCTTGGCGCGTCATGGTTGATGATTAGCTAGTTTGATTTTCGTAAGCTCTGCTCTTACGTTTGTTATTTGTGGAACTCATACTCACATTTGTTTCCATGGCTTCGAGTTGCGTTTCGTTAGTATTACGTACTCTTGTGGACTGTGTGTCCATGTTTGTTTTGTGACTTTGGCTACGTTTGGTTACTTACCCTTGTGAATTGTGTGTCTATGTTTGTTTTCGTGTTATAAGCCGCATTTGGTTATTTACCTTCGTGGACTGTGTCTCCACATTTGTGAACTGTTTTGATAAATCTTTAAAAATTTAAATTCTTATTTAACTGATGATTTCACTCTCTAATGGTTTTTAATTAGCAAACGTTATTATTTTCATTTAGACATTTAATTAATTATTTTGATTTGTCAATATCAAATGTTAAAGCTATTTTGTTATTATAGATTTAAATGTTATTGTTATGGAGTTCTTTAAAATTTATATTTCAAGTTTACAACTTTAATACATTAAATTGTTTTCTCATTTAATTTATGTAATAGTTATATTTTATTCATTTTGATTCTACAAAATATTATGATTGGAACATTATTCACTAGAAAATATTTTTTGCCTTAGATAGCTTGCACCTCTGTCAAATCATTCAAGGAATTTTGCTCTTAGATTAAAGTTATGATGCCATTTTGGTTAATCTCTATTTTTTTATGCACAATTTTAATCTATATATTATACTTTTATAAATAATGTTATGGGTGCTTCACATAGGTTATGGTAAGGGCTTTTATTTTGTAAATATTTTGTTTGCTGGCTGAAAAGAGTTAAGCTCCTAGATGTTGTAATATTTTTTTAAAAAAATTTGTATTGTAGAATTTCAGGGAAATCCTATTCTGAAGGGAGGTTAGGTCAAAATTTTCACAAAAATATTAAGGCTTCATTTAAACGAAAATTATTTTAAATTAGAAATTTATTGAATTAGGTTTACGGTATGTGTGTTTAGGTGTATCCCATGTCAGTCACTCCTATATTTTGGGATGTGACAGAATGTTAGTAGTTGCTGGGACCATGGTAGCCCAAAGAAGGTTGTCAACATGGTGGTTATAATTTGTTATGATTCAACCCAATTATCAAGAGGCCAGCACAACCAAGATAAATATGGGCCCAACTCAGAGTAGCAAGAATCCAGAAATTATTACTAAGCATGAGCGTCGTAGCTCAAGGATGAGAGAGTACATGGAAGGTGAGAGAGAATGTAGCTACTTAAAGAAGAGGTGGGAGCAGTAGAGACGTGGGAAATGGGAGGGCCTGAACCTATAAGAGCCAAGCTTTTAAACCCAATTTCTCAAAAATAGATTGATTTCTGAAGCCTAGCTTTATTTAAAGGGCTCAGGGCAGGCCCCAAAAGCCCTTTATTATTATGTTTTTAAAATTTAAAATAAATAATAGAAAATCAAATCTTAAATTATAAAGATATATTTTAAAATTTAAATTCAATTTAAAAGATAAAAATATTTTATTTTTTAGAGTTAAAATGAAAAAGGGCTTAAAAAGGCCACCCAATCTTGAGCCCGAGCTCTTTTTTTAGGGTTTATTAAGGTTGGGCTTCAAAGCTCAGTTTTTTTAAAAAAAATGGTATTTTTTCAAGCCTGAAAATTTATCAAAATGGGCTTAATCTAGTAAAGAGGCACTGAGGATTGTGAGCCATTTTCTCTCTGATATTATTTCTCTCTCTTTTCTATTATTTCCCTCCTGAATTTTCTCTCTGTCGTTTCTGTTATTTTCCTTCTTTTTGAATGTGTACTGCTGTGATTATGATTAGCTGAATAATACTATAGCAGGGATTGCATGTTTCATTTCAATAGGGTTCTGCTGGACCGTCCTCAACCTCGGCCTTCGCTAACTCTTCTTTAGCCGTTGTGAGCTAGCACCTCAAGTCTGCCACCTTAACTCGTAATGCCCAAAGATTATCAACATGGGGGGCAATGTCCTGGACCCGGTCAGTAGCAGCAGTCATTCGGGTCTTGGCGGCCAAATACTCATCCCTCACTACCCAGTTGTTCTTTAAATATTCGGACAGGAGGGGGAGTTCTTTGCGGCATTAGCAGACAATGCCATAACACAATGGGACTTGAGCTCACAGAAGCGTCAACTCGGACATGGAGACCGCCTTTGCCACAGCCTCGAGAGCTCGGATCATTTCCTCAAAATTTTGCTCGAGGAGGAAGAAGGGATCGCGGCTGAGTTGGAATTGGATGACTCTCCAAGCATCCAATATCACGTCCATTTCAGGGACGCAAATGCGGGAGAAAAGAGCGTCCGTAGGTACTGCCTCCATTGCAACCAGCTGAAAAGAGTAAAATAACATTAGCAAAAGACTAATACTAGGCTGGCAGGAATGAAAATAAATAAGAAACAAGACTATCTTGGATTGGGTCCATGAGAGCCTTGTCTTTACTCATGAAGAAGGAAGAGCGCGTGCAGACCGTGCCATTGAGTGCAGGGCCTTCTCCACACGATCCGTTAGAGTGGAAAACCCGCTTGACCCTGCTCTGAGCCACCTGGAGTAGAGGCAAAGGTGGTCAGTGCATCACCCATAGACTTTACCTGCGACCACTCAGAGCTCCTTCCTTCTAGAAGATTTGTTAAGTGGGAGGGAAGGATTAGACTGAGTGGGGAGATCATTCGGGGGCTCGCAGTGGCAGCAAGGTCCTGGCCCCCAAGCTCCAGCTGATCGCCTGAGGCAGTGACAACAGCTTTCCTTTAATCAAGAGCAGCCCTGACATTTTCTAGACTGCTTGGGGCTGCGATAGACAGGATAGCTCCCTGACTTTCACCACCTTCTGCTACCTCCTGGGCCACCTCTTGAGCAAATCCAACTAGATCCATCGGTGTAGGCTCAGGGGTGGCGGCGGCTTGGAAGGAGACCATTTGTAGATCGGGGTGCTGGTTCTCCTTTTCCCTTATTGAATCGGACTCACTTTGCCATCATCGGAGTCTGCTGACAGGATCATCGTTCGTTGGTGCTTATGTGTACGCCTCCCCTTTGGAGGTGTGGGGCCAATTTAGAGAGGGGTGGAGGCAGGTTGGTTAAGTGGCGGAGGCATTGTCTTCTTTCTCCTTTTCGCCTCAAGAGAAGGGGATGGAGCCCGCTTCCTTTTGTCTGGAATTTCTCCTCGATCAGGACAACTGGAGGAGATCTTCTTGGCCCTAGACTTTTTAAAGATTGGGGGAACGGAAAGTTGGAAGCATCATCTTGCTCCATCCCTTAGACCACAATCCTTACAGAAGGGGCCGTCGAGGTATCGGAAGCAGCGGGGGCATCAATACCCTTAAAAAGGTCACCAACGTGTGGGACTTTGTGCAATCATGGTCTGCATAGAATAAGACAGGTTTAGTCTAAGGAAACAAAAAAAGGATAAAACTAAAGTAGAATGTGGAGGAAACACTTACTGGTGTGGCTCTTTATTATGTGCCTAAAGTACTGGGGCTACCATTTGTTGATGCGGAGGCAGGCGTCTCTATCTACAAGTTTCACTTTGCACTGCCTCTGGGTGGTGGGTGGAACGACTATCTGATCAATAGCCTCTCTATCCAGCAGCTCCATGTTGAATTAGGGGGACAGGCCTTGAGGGACACAGTGGCTCAGTCTAAACTAGCCCGCTACCAGTTGAGGATGATAAGACTTCAAGTATACTCTGAGAGACTTGGAGGAGGAGCCAGTGTATGGCAGCCACATCTTTTGGGGAGTGGTGGTTGAGAGAAAGACCTCATCCCTTAGAGAGTTGGCGGGCTTATTCTTCTTCACCATATATTTGTAACAGGTAGGAAGGCAGCGATCGGGGATATTGAAAGCTTTTAAGGTCCTCCCTAAAGACCAATTTTGTTGACAGAAGAACTTGAAGTTCTTCGTCTCCACCAATAGATCACCACCCAAGAGATAGGTGAAGGGATGGTTGGCGCAGGAATCATCAGGAAAGGGCTTCGGTAGAAGGTTGGGGAAGTAGGTCGTCGTCGACAACTTTACGAACCAGACGGGCCCACTGAAGTTGCTGAAGGGCTTCTTGATTAAGGACTCCCTCATGCCGTCATAGAGACGGCATAGACACATGGTCCTTAGGGCTATATGGTTGCTACAAATAAGGGATTGGGCGATCCGGAGATGCAACTACACGGGCTTTCCTCCCCTAGGGGCCAAGATCCATTGGCTGAGTAAGATCTAGTTGAAGACCAAGTGCTCCATGGCAGTGACGGGCTCAGAGGCTGGTTTCTTGGAGAACAGATCCATAATCTTTGTATAGAAGCCCACGGCCCTGATCTTACTCTCCAAGTCAGCAGGCGGGGCGGTGTAGGAGTCGCGCTTCTCCAAGATGGTGTAAAAGTTCTCTTCGCCGATGATGGGCAGCCCCAGGAACATAAAGACGTCCCATAGCATGAGGGACATCAGGCTGAGCTCAAAGATGAAAGCATTGTAGCCTGGAGCCGAGAAATTGAGGAGGGTTGTCAGAAGGTCCATGGGAATGTCAACGTCGGTTAGAGACAGTTAAATTAGGTCATATAGACCCATTTCCTTCCACTGGAGCGCATGATCAGCCTTCAAACGCTTGTATAGGAGAGGTCATGGGTTCGATTGCATAGGAGCATTGATGTCGGATAGGTCAGGAGAAATCTTCAGATATCCGACATCGCTTCTGTTGGAGATTTGAAAACTCCAAGACGAAGTGTTGACAAAAAGAAAGCACAGTTAGAGCACTTTTTAATAAAATAAAAGGGCTAAACACTAAAGGTGAGAAACTTACTAGAAGGCCACTGATTCATGGAATGATGAACTCTCTTAGAAAAGAAATGAACAAGAATGAGGATAGGAAACCAGGTTAATATAAAAAGGAGTTTTTTCAGACCATGAAATACATACCATTACGAGCCCGCCTAATTGATTCACCGGATTACGGATAGTTGCTAGAGAATATGGCAGACTACCAGTGAAAGTAGAGGAAGGGGTGGCGACAGAAGAAGCAAACGAAGCCATTTGAAGGTTATGAAGAAATTTGGTAGACTGAAGACTTAAGTTCAAGAAATGGCAAAAAAAGCAAAAGAAGTGACTAGAACCTGAAAACAAGTTTATATCGACAGAGGACGCTCAGAAATGAAGCGAAGTTTTGATTTTTTAAAACGTGCCATGTGGCTTATGTTACCAGCTATTGGCACGTGAGAGGCATTGTTTGGGCTAAATATGACACGTCACTCAAATAGGTCACAAAGGTTGAGTAGTTGAAACGTCAGGCCCAATATAAATAAAAGAGGCCGGCCTCGAAGCTCATCAAAGTCAACAACACGTAAACATGCCGAAATCTTGTCGGCTTCAAATATCAGACCGTTGACATGAAGACACGATCCTAAGTTATGTCGAAATCTACACCCAAGTAGTTCAGTGAAACGGGCTGATGGAGAGATCGTGCCATGAGTTTCGCGGGATTCCTAAATCTTCGGTAGAATGTGCTAAGTCCCAAAGGAAAGGTTTCTGCTATTAGACACTATAAATAGGAAGAAGAAAAATAAAGAGAACAGTCAACACTCGATCAAGACTCACATAATTTACATTTAATAGCTCTTTCAGTTCTTTAATTTTTTGTCTGTAACTTTCAAACACTTTAATAAAACTATATACTTGTTTTACCAAAACCTATGTTTTTACATTCGAGTGAACTGTGGTAAGGGAACTCGAGACCCTTTCATTATCTATTTGAGATCCAGTGTCTCTAGCACCCCTGGTATTTGTTGTTCAGTCACGAACAACATTATTCTGATCTTCTTGATCAAAAATCAATTATGATGCTTTAACTGTTGTAGATGTAGCTCTTGTACTAATCTTGTCCAGAATACTAGGTAGGGTTCATAGAAGATTTTCATTTCATCATGACTGCTTCAAGATTAACCTGGTTGTCAAATAATGTTTTCAGTGTGAATGAGATGGCAAATGACTTGAAACATTTTTTTTGTGTAGTTCTTTAATATGTTTATGTGTGTGTGTGTATATCAAATTAATTATAATCTCTGATAGCTGAGTAGAATGATATAATTTTAGCCTCTATGCATTGTATTGGCTGAGAAAAATTTGATTATCATCAGAATTTAGAGTTTATAATCTCTTCTTTAACATGATGGCTACTGTTCTTCTTACTTCTTGTTGTCATTGTGATGAAGCAGCTTGGTTGAACCAGTTAACATATGCGACAGAATCTAAATTGTTTTAGGGAGAATTATGATTGAGCAAAATCTAAATTGTTTTAGGGAGAATTATGATTGAGCTAATATATGCAAATTTCACTTTATTTCACAAAGTCAAGTGAACAAACTATTTTTTTTTGTCCTTTTTTGGGGTCTTTTTTTTTAAGGTGGTGTGGATGAGATTTTGGCAATTCATATAAATTAAAAAAATTCAACACTTTTGAATGCTCAGAAGCATGAATAATGTAAATTGAAAATAGCCTTTTAAGTATTTTTTTGGGCAATAATCTCTGATGATTACTCGTAGCAATTCAATAAATAAAATATATTAACAGAGACGAACATTTGTTGTCCCAAGAACAAAGCAATTCAAATTATGGATCCTAATATATTAATTATATTAATAGAAATTATATATAATATATAAATATCGCCCGTCTCTACCCAAGATCCCAGTCTCAATTCCATTTTTGTCTAAATTTCAGAGTAAATGGGCTTCTAGGTGTGGTATTGATTAGTGATTCTTTCAGGACTGTGGCTTGTCACATGAGTCTAAATTCCATATTTTCGTATGTAAAAGAAAGTATAAATATCTTCATAGGCCAGATGCTCACTAATGAGTACAGCATCCTCAAAATTGTAACCTTCCCACGGAAGGAGTCCTTGACCTGCAATAGATAGAAGATGATTTATTCAATCATATAGTTTGGGCTCTTAGAATATGGCGCCCTTGGGGCCTTCTATTTGAATATTGGGAGCTTCTATTTCAGAGCTTGTGCATACCATCTGCGAATGGTTTTCAACAATTTTATTAGTGCATAGATATCAAAGTTAAGTAATTTCGAAGGCCAAAATTATGATTTTGTTCGTGGTTGAACAACAAATACCAGGCGTGCCAGAGACGTTGGGTCTTAAATAGATAACAAAAGGGTTCCAAGTTTCCTTACCATAGTTAGCTCGGATGTAAAAAGATAGTAGCTTTGGTAGAACAAGTATGTAATTTTATTGAAGTGTTTGGAAGTTACAGACAAAAAACTAAAAAACTGAAAGGGCTAGTAAATGTAAATTATGCGAGACTTGATCGAGTGTTGACTGTTCTCTCTATTTTTCTTCTTATTTATAGTGTCTGATAGCAGAAGCCTTTCTTTGGGGACTTAGCACGTTCTACTAAAGATTCAAGAATCCCACGAAACTCATGGCACGGTCTCTCCATTGGTCCGTTTCACTGAACTACTTGAGTGTAGATTTTGGCATCACTTAGGATCGTGTCTTCGTGCTAATGATCTAATATTTGAAGTTGATGGGATTTCAGCATATTTACGTGTTGTGGACTTTGATAAGCTTTGGGGCCGGCCTCTTTTGTTTATATTGGGCCTAACATTTCAACTATTTAGCCCAACTAGCTTTGTGACCTATTTGAGCGACGTTTCATATTTAGCCCAAACAATGCCTCTCGCGTGTAAATAGCTGGTAACATAAGCCACGTGGCATGTTTTAAAAAATTAAAACGTCGCTTCATTTCTGAACACCCTCTGCCAATATAAACTTTTTTTTTCAGGTTTTGGTCACTTCTCTTGCTTTTTTGCCATTTTTTGAACTTCAAGTCTTCAGTCTACTAAATTTCTTCGTAACCTTCAAATGGCTTCGTTCACTTCTTCTGCCGCCGCCCCTTCCTCTACTTCCACTAGTAGTCTGCCGGAGTCTCTAGCAACTATCCGTAATCCGGTGAATCAATTAGTTGGGCTCGTAACGGTATGTATTTTGTGGTCTGAAAAAACTCCTTTTTATATTAGCTTGGTTTCCTATCCTGATTCTCATTCATTTCTTTTTTAAGAGAGTTTGTCATTCCACAAATCAGTGGCCTTCTAGTAAGTTTTTCACCTCTAGTGTTTAGCCCTTTTATTTTATTTAAAAGTGCTCTAACTGTGCTTCCTTTTTGTCAGCACTTCACCTTGGAGTTTCCAAATCTCCAACAAAAGCAACGTCGGATATCTAATGATTTCTCCTGACCTGTCCAACGTCAATGCTCCTGCGCAATCAAACCTATGGCCATTGACCTCTCTTTATAACTTGGTCTTGGCCTAGACGAGTACTCCCTTCTCCAAGTCGTCCTGCAGAAAGCTCAAGAACTAGCCCTGGTTCCTTCGTGCTTGGGTCAACTGGGTGAAGCATTTGAAGGCTAATCATGCACCCCAGTGGAAAGAAAAGGGTCTATATGATCTAATTCAACTGTCTTTGGCTGACGTTGATGTGCCCGTAGACCTTCTGACAGCCCTCTTCAGTTTCCGGGCTCCGGGCTGCAATGCTTTCATCTTCAAGCTCAGCCCAATGTTCCTCACGTCATGAGATGTCTTCATGTTCCTAGGGCTGCCCATCACCGGGGAAGAGAACTTCTATGCCATCCTCGAGAAGCACGACTCTTACACCGCCGTGCCTGCTGACTTGGAGAGTAAGATCAGGGCCGCGATCTTTTATACAAAGATTATGGAGTTGTTCTCTGAGAAACCAGTCTCTGAGCTCGTCACTGCCACGGACTACGAGGGGAGGAAAGCTCGTGCAGCTGCATCTCGGGATCGCCTAGTCCCTTCTCTGTGGCAACCAGATAGCCCTGGGGACCATGTTTCTATGCCGTTTTTATGATGGCATGAGGGAGTTGCTGATCAAGAAGCCCTTCAGCAACTTCAGTAGGACCATCTGATTCTTAAAGTTATGGATGACAACCTACTTCTCTAACTTTCAGTGGGAGCCCTTTCCTGATGATTCCCGTGCTAACCACCCCTTCATTTGTTTCTTGGGTGGTCATCCGTTGGTGGAGACGAAGAACTTCTTTAAGTTCTTCTGTCAACAAAGTTGGTCCTTGGGGAGGACCTTAAAAGCTTTCAACATCTCCAACTGCCGCCTTCTCACCTGATACAAATATATGGTGGAGTAGAAGAACAAGCCCGCCAACTCTCTAAGGGATGAGGTTTTTCTCTCAGCTACCACTCCTCAGAAGATGTAGCTGCCATACGTTGGCTCCTCCTCTAAGTCTTTTAGAGTATACTTAGAGTCTTATCATCCTTGACTGGTGGCGGGTTAGTTTGGACTAAGCCAGTGCGTCCCTCGAGGCCTGTCTCCCCAAATCAGCGTAGAGCTACTGGGCAAAGAGGCTATTGATCAGATAGCCGTTCCACTCAACACCCAGAGGCAGTGCAAAGTGAAACTTGTAGATAGAGATGCATGCTTCCGCTTCAACAAATGGTGGCACTAGCGCTTAAGGCGCATAATAAAGAGCCACACCAGTAAGTGTTTCCTTCGCATTTTGCTTTAGTTTTGTCCTTTTTATTTTTTTTCCTTAGACTAAACTTGTCTTGTTTTATGCAGACCGTGATTGGACACAGTCTCATGTGTTGGTAACCTTTTCAAAAGGTAATATTGATGCCCTCGCTGCTTCTGAGATCCCGACGACCCCTTTCGTAAGGACCGTGGTCCAAGGGATGGAGCATGACAACGCTTCCTCCCAACTTTTCGTTCCCCCGGTCTCTAAAAAGTCTAGGGCTAAGAAGATCTCCTTCAGTCATCCTGACCGAGGGGACATTCCAGATAAAAGAAAGTGGGCTCCATCCCCTTCCCTTAGGGCGAAAAGGAGAAAGACAATGCCTTCGCCGCTTGACCAACCTGCCTACACCCCTCTCCAAATTGGCCCCACACCTCAAAAAGGAAGGCGCATACATAAGCGTCAATAGACAATAATCCTGTTAGTAGACTCTAACGATGGTAGAGTGAGTCCGGTTTAACAAGGGGAGAAAGAGACCTAACACCCCGATCTCTAAATGGTCTCCTTCCAAGCCGCCACCACCCCTGAGCTTATACCCATGGATCTAGCTGGATTTACTCAGGAGGTGGCCCAGGAGGTAGCAAAAGGTGGTGAAAGTCAGAGAGCTGTCCTGTCTATCGTAACCCTAAGCAGTCCAGAAAACGTCGAGGCTGCTCTTGATCAATAGGAAGTTGTTGTTGCTGCCTCAGGCGATCAGCTCGAGCTTAGGGTTCAGGACCTTGCTGCCACTACGAGCCCCTGGATGATCTACCCACTTAATCTAATCCTTCCCTTCTACTTAACAAATCCTCAAGAGGGAAGGAGCTCTGAGTGGTTGCAGGCAAAGTCCATAGGTGATGCACTGACCGCCCTGGTCTTTACTTAAGATGGCTTAGCACAGGTCAAGCGAGTTTCTTCACTTTAACTGACTATGTGGAGAAGGCCCTGCGCTCAATAGCGCGATCTGCACGCGCTCTTCCTTCTTCCACAAGTAAAGACAAGGCTCTTATGGACCCAATCTAGGTATAGTGTTGTTTGTTATTTATTTTCATTCCTGCCAGCCTAGTATTGGTCTTTTGCTAATGTTATTTTACTTTCTTCAGCTCGCTGCACTGGAGGTAGTACTTACGAATGCTCTTTTCTTCTACATTCACGTCCCTGGAACGGACGTGATATTGGATGCTTAGAGAGTCATCCAATTCCAACTTAGCCGCGATTCCTTCCTCATCCCCGAGTAAAATTTTAAGAAAATGATATGGGCTCTCGAGACTGTGGTGAAGGCGGTCTTCATGTCCGAGTTGGCGCTTCTGTGAGCTCAAGTCCTGGCGTGTTATGGTATTGTCAACCAATGCTGTAAAGAACTCCCCCTTCTGTTTGAATATTTAAAGAACAACTAGGCAGTGAGGGATGACTATTTGGCTGCCAAGACTCGAACAACTGCTGCTACTGACCAGGTCCAGGAGATTACCCCCCGTGTTGATAATCTTTGGGCATTACGGGCTAAGGTGGTGGACTTGAGGCGCTAGCTCGCAACGGCTAAAGAAAAGTTGGCGAAGGCTGAGGCTGAGGCTGAGGACGGTCCAGCAAAACTCGAACTGGAAGTTGCTACTAAAGTGCTAGATGAGGCGCAGACCGTCTCAAATGTTAAGTTTTGAGCTATGCTTGAGTTTAAAATGGTCCTCACATGTCACTAGACCCTTTCTGCAGATCTAGACTCGGCTTTATCAACGTAGGAGCTTATGTGCAGCCTTTGTAAATAGTATACTTTATGTATAAACACACACACACACACACACATTTTTTTTATTTATTTATTCTTTATTCCTTATAACACGATTCAATGATAATAAAGAACAAATATATTTTTTCTCATTGTGTGAGTTTTGTATGCTTGGAGGCCATTCTAGGCCTCAAGTCCTTTATCGCTTTCCTATTATAACGACGGCTAATGCTTCTTTAAATATTTGCCGTTTATAGCCCATTTGTATGGAATTTTATCTACGTTGGCTAGCATATATGTGTTCCCTCTAAGTACTTTGTCTACCTTAAACGATCCTTCCCAATTAGGTGAAAACTTACCAAGTGTCCGGTCTTTAGAATCAGGTGGTAACATAAGTTTCCATACAATCTCACCCGCTTGAAAATGTTTCCGTCTTATCCTCTTATTGTATATTTTCAAAACTTCTTTCTTTCGGGCGATCATATGATCAAGTGCTTGTAAGCGAATTTCGTCTAACTAAATTAACTCGTTCATCATGGCTTCGTTATAGTCGTCAGATGGTCTTTCTAGACTATTCACAATGCGCAAAGGAACTGCTATTTTCATAGGCAAAACAGCCTCATGCCCATATGTTAACACGTACGGGCTCATGCCTATAGCTTCTCTTTTAGATGTCTGGTATGCCCATAGTGTCTCGGCCAGTCATTCATGCCATTCTCAAGGATTCTCTTCAATTGTTTTCTTTAAAATTTTGAGGATGATCTTATTGGAAGCTTTAGCCTGCCTATTTGCCTGAGGGTAATATGGTGAGGATGACAATAACTTAATCCCACTTTCCTCGACAAAGGCCTTGAATTCACTTTCGATGAACATTGTTCCCTGGTCTGTTGTAATTGTTTGAGATATCCCAAAACGAAACATGATTTGCTCCCGTACGAAGTTAATAACATCGCCTTGTTCTACTTTCTTCATAGGGACGGCTTGAACCCACTTAGTAAAATAATCTGTGGCCACCAAGATGAATGAGTAGCCCTTAGACAAGGCCGGATAGATTTTTTCTATTATATCCATGGCCTATCCTTGGAAAGGCCTTGGTTTGATAATGAGATGCATATCTGATGTTGGCACTTATTATGTTGGCCCGTGAATCTGACATTTCTTGCACCTCCTAGCGTACTTGATGCAATCTTTTGTCATTGAAGGCCAATAGTATCCATGTCTATACACTAACCATTGCATCTTTGGCCCCGACTGATGAGCCCCACTGACTCGCTTATGTACCTGTCTTAAAACCTTCATATAATCAGTGAAGGCTAAACACTTAAGTAATAACCTATCGAGGTCTTTCCTATGTAATTCATCTCTAATTAAAATAAAGTGTTGAGCACATATCCTTGTTTTGTAAGGGTAACGTTGACTTGGATTTTGAAGATAACTCTTAAAATCATCTCTCCAATCCTGCGCTAACCCTTACGAGACCATACTACACTGTATTATCAAACCATGCTGAATGACTGAGGGATGTTCTTTTCGCTCCACCACAATTACTTTTCTAGTGAGCTCGAGTGACAACCTTAGTCCTGATGCTATTTGAGCCAATTCATTAGCTTCTCAACTTTCCCTGCAAGGTTCAAGATAAAACGCTTGAGATAATTGACCTGCGCCTTTGCCTCCAAGATGGCTCGTGCTTTGTTTTGGTTTACTTCAATCCCCTTTCTGTGGACCAGGAATTCAAGGAAGTTACCTGCGGTTACACTAAAAGCACATTTTAGTGGATTTAACTTAGGGCCGACCTCTCTCATTCGAAGGAAACTCGTCCTCAAATGTTCAATATGATCATGTGCCTTCTTAGATTTTATCATTATGTCATATATATATATACTTCTAGGTGCCTTCCTATTATATCGTGAAAGATGGCATTCATAGCCCGTTGATAGGTGGCCCCAGCATTCTTTAGTTCAAAGGGCATAACTACCTATTTGAAAGTTCCAATGGAGCCCGGACACTTAAAAGTAGTCTTGTAAATGTCTTCCTTTGCAATAAATATCTAATTGTATCCGAAGAAGCAATCTATAAATGACAATAAAGCATTTCTGGCCCTAGCATTTATTAACCTATCTGCAATAAGCATTGCACAACGTCTTTAGGTGTGGCCATTTTTATGTTTCATAAATCTACGCAAACTCGCAGTTTCCCGTTCTTATTAATTACTGGAACTATGTTTGAGAGCCATTGAGCATACATGCAGGGCCGTATAAACCCGTCTCGTAGGAGGCATTTGATCTCCTCCTTTACTCATAGCTCTACCTCTATTGACATTCTTTGGGCGGGCTATTGGTGCAGTCTATAATTTGGCTTTATTGGAAGCCTATGTTCGACCAACTGCCTAGCTAGCCCTAGCATTTCATCATAGCCCATGCAAAGCAGTCCTTGAATTTCAGTAGTGTTAGGTTGATGGCATCCTCTGTTCTTTATCTAGTAGTAAGTTAATAAATGTGATCCTCGAGTCTTCTGGGGATCCTAGGTTTACTTCTTCTAGTGGATCCTGGACCTCTAGGGCTATATCTTCGAATTTCAAAGATGCAGGGTCTAGCTTATGCAGTTGTGCTATCTTTTGAGTCTCATCTTTATATATAACTTCGATCCCATAGACCTCGGGTTCGCAGTCTTCTAGTTTCTCTTGTAGATTGTGCAACCATAACTTTTGTATGGCCGCAGCTATTACGGCCTTTCCTTCGTTTACTTTAGTCATCGACCAATTCTGTGATGGGCTTGTGCCTTTGTGAGGTTAGAGGCACTATAGCGTTTGGTGTTATTCTGCATGAAAGGATTCCTTGAGCCTTTCAGAATGTGAACGAGCCCGCGTCAACATCATAATACCTCGCTTCCACGAAGTCAGTAGCTTCTGTGAATGGCTTGTCTTCAGCCCAGACTACTTCTACCTCTTCTCCTTTCTACGTCAGGAGCATTTGGTGTAGTGAAGAGGGTACACATTCATCGGCATGAATCCAATCCCGTCCCAAGAGAATTTGGTATTGAGCTGTGGTGCTGATCACGAAAAAGGCCATTGATGATGACTTGGTCCCAACATCAACCTGTAACGATAGTACGCCGAGGACCTTAGATGTGGTCCCAGTGAACTCTACCACTGATACCTCAATTGGCATTAGGTCGTGCTCTTCTTGCCCTATTTTGATCATCATGCAAGCTGGCAGAATGTTCGCCGTCAAGCCACTGTCAATGAGGACTCTAGTCATCGGTCTCCCTTCGAAATGTGCCCTGATGTATAAGGGCTTTAAGTGTTGAGTCATCTTTACGCTGGGTTTCTCTAAGACAGCCTGCTTTGGTTTTCCTTCTATTGCTTGTAATGTAATTTGGTAGACAAGCTCTGCAATCTTTTTTTTCTGTGCCTGTATGCTTATAGGCTCGTACTCCTCCTCTTCCCTTGGCTCCATTGGGCAATATTGATACAAGCTTGTTTGTGCTGGCTTCAAAGAGTTCTGTTGGTCTTAGGTATTACTAGTGGTGGATCGGAATTGAGAAGGTAATGTTAACGAGACCACACAGCGGAGGTTGAGCAGTATCTCTCCTACATGAATGGTCCTTTTTTTCTCACTTCCTTCATCCTGATCTTCGGTGGACTTTCTTCTAAACTTGCTAACCTCCTGTTGAATGTCGGGGCTATCCTGTACCTTGGTTTTTTGCTATTTAAGATACCTTTGTGTAGCCCATTTTTGTTGAAGATGTCACTTCTCGGTTCTGGTTAAGGTAGTTGGGAATTTTTTGTGCCTCACAACTCTGTATTTCAAAAGCAGCACATTGCCAAGAGGTGTAACGAACTTGCCTGAACCCTGAGTGGCTTTTGGTTTTGAAGGAAGCTCTGTGCTATTTTCTGATAGCGTTGACGGTGGTAACAGTAAATCGTCGGGGCCAACATCCCAGCCCGTTGGTATCCCCGCGAATGGTTCACCTGACCTAAAGGGTGCTGAGTACTTTACAAAGAAGTCGAATTTGTCAGATGGTTCTCCTAAACGGTCTCAGACCACCTTAGATCCATCTAGTTCTATCATCACTAATCCTCCCGAGCCAACATCCCATCCTGAGGGTCGTTTACTATTTTCCTTCTTTTTCTACTGAATGCCTCCATTTTGGGTTTCCCCCAAACAGTCCCAAACTACTTTGGAGCCATCCAGGCTTTTCATGTTCTGCCCCTCGGGGCATCTATCCTATTTAGAAGACTTGTTCTTACTGTACCAGCCGGTAGGCTTCCCTAGGCGGTCCCATACTGTCTTAGTGTCTATTTGAGCTACATCACCCCTGTTCTGGACATTTCAAGGTCTCCCATCTTTCTGTTTACCATTACCTTTCCTGAGCTGTCGTTTTCCAGAAGTTATCCTTACTATGTTGACCATAGCAAATGGGAGAAACGGGTCCTCGTCTACCACCATGGATTCTTCCTTAGGGAATTTTAGAACTCCCTTGTTGATCCAGTCCTGGACGATATTCTTGAATCCCCAGCATGCTTTGGCACTGTGACTCCACAAGTGGTGATATTTACAGTATTCCTTCCCTCTCTGTTCTTCCTTCAAGGGAATCTTATGATCCATGGGCAGGAGATGAAGTTTTCCTTGAGGAGGAAATCGAAAATTGCCTCTGTTTTTATGGATCGAAGGTGTACTAGACTGTATTTAGTCTTTTAGGCAGTTCTCCGGCCTTCCTAACCAGAGCCAGACATGTGTAGTTACCAACATTCTTCAGTTCGGCCACGGCTACGTCCAAGCCCCCAAAATAAGTCCCGGTTGTAGTCTGTCAGCGATTATCTTCTTCCTTGAGTAATTCCTCATAATCCCACACCTTGGCCGCAAGTTCATAAAAATCTTAAAATTCCATCCCCTGGAATTTTTTTCGGAGCTCTATGTCCAATCTTACCTGTGCCAGCTTGACAAATTCAGTTTTTGAAAGCGTCACGTGGCATCTGCTTCTTAGGCATTTGAACCTCACCAAATATTAGTCTACTGTCTCTCCAGTCCCTTGTATGAGCTTATAGAGTTTCGCTATGCTGACTTTTGGTTCTGCTTTATAGAATTGGATGTGGAACTTCTCCATCTCTATTAGCTGATGATTGAGTTACGAGGTAGTAACGTATATCATG